GAAGTATACAAACCGGATTTACAATCTGTACAAACCATACAAACATACGAACAGTACAAACTAGAGCGACAAAACATACAAACAGATTTACAAACATTACAAACGTATGAACTGTACAAACAATACAAACTAGACCGACAAACAATACAAACCATACAAAAAGAAAAAACAACCAGGTTGACTTTGGAGGCTCCATCCCTATATAGAGGGGCTCCTTCCCAAAGTCAACCCGGGTGTTTTTTAGACATACAAACAGTACGAACATGGTGGACAAAAATGACAAACTAGACCGACAATCCATACGAACTGGAAAAAACACCCGGGTTGACTTTGGAGGCTCCATCCCTATATAGAGGAGGTCCATCCAAAAGTCAACCAGGTTGTTTTTTAGACATAAAAAACATTACAAATATGGTTGACAAAAATAACAAAGTTTACAAACATGGTGCACAAAAATAACAAAGTTTACAAACATTACAAAAAAAAAACGACAAACATTACAAAATAACAAAGCATACAAACATTACAAAATATGTCAACAAACATCACAAAGTTTACAAACATTACAAAAAAAACGACAAACATTACAAAATAACAAAGCATACAATCATTACAAAATATGTCAACAAACATCACAAAATTAGCACTGTCGCCGAGAAATTATTCTCCGGCGACGATATTCGCCGGAAAAATTTTCCGACCAGAAAATCTCTCTCTCCCTCCCTCTCTCTCTCCCTCCCTTGGGCCAACAAAATTCCCCATGAATAATGAATAATTCCCCTGGGCAACAAATCCCCTTGCCGGCGAAAAGGAAACGGACGCCGGGAATTGTTTCTGCCGGCGTGAGCGAGAAAGGGACGGGGAAGAGTCGCGGCGGAGGAATTTTTTTTGGCTGGAGTGGGATCCTTCGCCGGCAAATAAGACACAGAAACGCGCGGAAAGAGACGCAACAGAAATATTGAATTTTTACTTAATTAATAATTGATAATTAATAAAGCTTGCCGTTACTATATTACCCTTCATTAAAATGGATTAATCTGAACCATTAGATTTTAATGAGGTGGAATGGCAGAGATTCACTTAGTCACTTGACTAAGGGGACCCCCCTTAGTCACCTGATCTTAGCCCGAGAGTATGGTTAGAAGTTCGATGACTTTTTCAGCAGTCAGAGACGCTGATGAGGATTTTAGGATTGTACTTTCAAGTTTAATGGCGAGTATCTATTTCTATCTCTTTTTTATTTTATTTTGAATAATTTTTAGAAGATAAAACACTAACTTTCTATCCATTTTATACTTCCAATTTTCTTTTTCTTTAATCTTGTTTGAATTCATCTTATACAATGAAGGATATATAGTATTTAGTACTAGCTAAACCTTCTATTACTTCCACCGAATGAGATAAAATGTTCCAGTCCTTTGCATGCTCGCCTATGTTTTAGTTCATTGAGTACAACGTCTAGTTTAAACTAAAGTGCGGGATGGAAAGATTGTCATGTTTGTTTCTTAATTATTATACTTTATAGATATAATATTATTAGTTAAGAATTTTAAATTTTTTAAAATGCTAAGGATGCATCATCCATCCATTAGCTTGAGTACTCAAATTATTGAGTGCAATTTATGTGAAACTTTCAGAAACTTTCAAAATTTTCTTTGACTCTTGTCATCCCCTACCAGCATATTCAATATTAATCTTACTTGGAATCAATGAATCTAGGAATTTCAATTCACTAGGAAGGCTAGTGTAGTGACTATGAAGGATGCGATAATTAATGAGACAAAATAATCATTCGATATGTTTGAATACCGTGCTTTTTGATTCTTATATGGATTTTTAATCATACTAATGAGTCTCAACCTTTTAAATTGTTTTAGTACGGTGAGTTGTACATTCTATTAAGGGCTAATACCACTAGAGAACTCGAACTATCAACAAAATGTCATTTGTGTTCCGAACTATTCAATATTCCACTTATGTACCAACGGATGATAGTTGTGTGTCATTTGTGTCCTACGATTTCGTTAACCTTAATAGAAAATGGTTGACCAGACGGTGGTCAACTTGATGTTGACTTAGGAGCGAAATTGATGCAGTGATTAATACTATTTGGGGATTTTTGTCACTTTTTATTTTAATCATTTTAGATGAAAATATAAATAAAAATTAATATTTAAAATTCTATATCAGATGCCACGTCAACACTGACTGAATTTTCTATTAAATATTGATGGTCAAGCTCGGTCAACGCTAACGGAAAAATAGTTCAGTACATAAATGTCATATTGAATAGTTCGGGTCACAAGTGACACTTTCTTTATAGTTCGGTTTCCCAGTAGTATTAGCCCTTCTATTAACTGAAAAATCTACCAAAAAATACATGAAAGTATTATCTATGCATCTGCCATGCAAAAAAGATAAGTATGGGATAAACCCAATGTGGGAGACATCCATTCATTAAAAAAAAGGTATTGGAAGATATCAATTGAGAGTTTGCTCGCAATCTTCTGTTGTTGGTCCATTTCCAATACAAGTAAAAATTTCACTCGTCTATTAGATCGTCAATCTGAGAATGTATTTTAGAGGGAACTGATACAGCTTCCGACAACTACAAAAATTATTTTTTCTCAACCAATAAGGGTATAATGCTCTAGTAAACATAGACTCTCAACAAATGAAAAAAATATATATATAAAAAAATTTGAAAAGAAAGAAATGACGAGAGGAAAAATGTGTGGAAAGAGTATGTCAAAAAATTGTTAGATGCATTTCTAAGTTCTAATTAAACGTATTATTTTTCTTTAAAAGTTTCACCCTACGCGTGTTGAAACTCATGCATGGTTTTCATTCTTATTGGATTAGATTTCGAGTTATTCTTGCATGTTGATGTTGTTAGAGTTCTCTCGTGCTATTGTTGAACTTGTAAGTTCACTTATAATCCATGAAGTATGAACGAAGTCAAATGAGTTTTCTAACTTTCATTGAGTTGTATGATTATGAGTAATGTTTGCTTGGGGACAAGCAAAGTTTAAGTGTGGAGTATTTCTGATAATACTAATATTATAGTGTCTCAAGGTCCTATATCTGACACATTACACCTTATATGAGGCATCTTTCATTTTTGGTAGTTTTACTTTTACTATATTTTCTATGCATTTCATAACTATTTGATAAATATGGCTATTTTAGACATATTTTGTATTTTTGTATAATTTTATGCATTTTTTTTTATTATTTTGTGCATTTCAAGATAAAATATAATCACGAAAATTTTGGATCAAATAATGAACATGAGTTGAAGGCCCCAAACGCAAAAAAAAAAAAAAAAAAAAAGACTGAAGATTTTCATATAAAACGGAGTCGATTTGAGCTAAAATTCAGCAACGAGTCATTTAAACCCAAGAGAAGCCTACTTGATAAAAATTAGAGCATTCAGAGGTGGCTCAATGACGGCAGCAACTTGAAGGGTCCAACCGCCGTCGACTCAACGTATCCCAGTTAAAGCCCCATTCATCAAGGAGCTTACTTAAGGGTCAAGTAATCCTAATCCGAGGAGAATAAATCACGAGCGACGCAGTCTTCGTCACTGACCTAGAAGCTTATAGAAGTTCTTCTCTTCATCCCCAAGTAAAGGAGTCTCAGTACAAGTCAAACGAGGAAGATTTATGCCCGAAATTATGAAGGAAACCCTCGATACTCATATTTTGTCCATAAGCCTTTACCCACTAATTAGCACTACAAATAGAGGCTTAGGCTAGATCTTTCGAGAAAACTTGACAAGTTTCACATATCACATTAGACTCTTAATTACCACTCAAATGGAAGGGATTTATAGAACTTCTTTGGAAATTTTGAATTTTCCTTGGGGATAGGTTTTCCTTAGTTCAATTCTTTTAACATATATTGAAGAGACAAAATTCTGTGGAGTTCAGTCTTCAATCTAGTGTACGTTTCGTGTTTCATTGATTAGGCTGACCACTTCCGTTTTCGTCAAATTTTCTTTTTTCAATGAATGGGTGAGGTTTATTCATCAAATACGATCCGGTGCATGAGAAACCCATCTCTTTTACATAATCAAACTCAATACATGACATTGCACCTTAGAGTATGTGTGGAACTTTGGAAATAAAAGCAAAGAAAAGGGAAAGAGAATAAAAGTGATAGGGAAGGAATTGATGAATGAGAGTGTTGGAAGCTAATGAGTGGGACTGAAATGAGGGGAAATGGAGATATGAAGTTGCAGCAAGCAGGGGATGGACCACTAGAGATGCCACTCATGCTGCCTCAACATAAACATAGATACAGCAAGACAAGCTCAGAAAGGCAAGGGGACCATTCACCCCCGCATTCCCCATCCATCCATCCCCACCCTACCCTACCCTACCCTTCTTCTCCATATATTATTCTACCCATACGATACGACCATCGTTAAATTACCACGACGAGGACGAGCGTTAGAGAATAATATAAGATTTATATTTAGTCGAATTATATATTGAGTTAATGATTTAGCTTTCGACTTATGGTATCAGAGCCTTTGATAATGATTGAGATAGTTGTGAATTGTGATGTTTGGAATTTCTTTGCAAAGTTAAAGTTGTTGCCATAAATGGGCTGTCGACACAATTAATCACTTCCTTTAAAATTAGATACAGACTTTGATTGACTTCCCATCATAGTTAGTTGAAGTAAGAGGGGAGGAGGGTTCCTAATTATTACCCCAAACTGATGAAAGCTGTGATGGCGTACCACAACACATATGTGTGCGCCTATATATATATATATATATAGATATGGAGAGTCGTCCAAAATACGACACAGTTACCCTTGCCTCCTCCCTTTCCTTGCTCACTATATGCTCCTTCTGCTGCTGCTGCCAGCTCAAACCAGACCAAATAGCTAGCTAGATTTATCAGCTGGTATAGAGAGAGCGAGAAAGAGAGAGAGAGAGAGCCAGCAGAGCAAAGGATCGAAGCTTTGTTGTTGTTGTAATAGTAAAAATGGGAGGAGTTGCGTGGACGGAAGAAGAAGATCATCTGCTGAGGAAATGCATTGAGCAATATGGAGAAGGCAAATGGCACCGTGTCCCCTTGCTCGCTGGTACGTAATCTGCTCATCATCTCTCTCGCTCTCGCTCTCGCTCTCGCTCTCGCTCTTCTTACAACCAAAACCTACTCTGAATTTAGTTGTTTTTTTGTTAGTTATTGATTAGTGTTTACCGTATTTTCTTTAAGATTAAGTTATCGAGTCAGTGAATGATTGTTAAGTGATTAGGCTTTCCGGTTCTACTATAAATATGTATCGTTTTACATAGATTTATTATCAATGAAGAAGGGGAAAAAAAACAATTTAGTATTTTTGTTAATTTTCGTAGTTTAGAACGATGCCAAATTGCCAATGCATCAGAAACCAAGTAAACGAATCAACAAGAGATCCTTAGACGTGATGGGTTTTCTTGATTATGTATTGCATGTACTGGAGATTTTCTCTTCTGTTGTACAAAGACATAAAATGGGTTGAATGAAGCTAACCATTGATCTGCACCTAAAGTGGGAAGAAAGGAAAAAGATGGCCGACCCCCAATTTTAGAAAAAATAAGTTGCAGCATTTAGTTGAACTTGTACTTTGGTTTTCGAACGAGTGGTTTGGACTACTTGTACTTGAAAAAAAAAAGTAGATGAAGGGAAGCTCCAATCTCCAATCATTTTAGCTTGGGTGAGCATGTAGCTAGCTAGACACCAGCTTTCAAATTTCACCTTACCCATCGTACTATGTAGACCATATACCGGCGGACTAATAAAAGAAAACCAAACCCAAAAATGGGAATGGAAATATCTATGCCTAGATTCTCCGATTTATTGGACTGCCACCATCAGAAGAAGCCTATCGAATTCAAACTAGTTCATCATTCAGTAAGTCGAAATGAAAACCAAGAATAATAAACCAATTCATGTGGTGAGCACAGTTATTAATTGGAGTTTTCTGTGTACAATACAGGTTTAAACAGGTGCCGGAAGAGCTGTAGGCTGAGATGGCTAAACTACCTCCGACCCAACATCAAGAGAGGGAGTTTTGCTGAAGAGGAGGTTGATCTCATTATCAAGCTTCACAAGCTCCTGGGTAACAGGCAAGTTAATTATCATTATTATTACTATTACTATTATTCACATCTTCAAATTCAACTGCAAATGCAAATGCAAATGCAAATGCAAATGCTTTCTTTGATATATGTGATACAAAAACATACAGTATATGTACGGGTCAGACTCGCATCTTACCATATAAGAATTTTGTCTAACACATCTCTATAGGGTCATTTAATAAAAACATCCCTCACTTCATTTTATTTTTTTTTAACTTGCATTATAGTAGCCAAATTTAAAAAAAAAACTTTACAAACATGTCCAATTTGTTGGTATGAGTAATTTCATATCAACCAAAAAGCGACTCGACCCTAACCTGACCTTGTGAACAAACACTGATACAGCCCACGATCGTGTCAGACCGGGTCAATGGATATCTAGGTTCAGGCAGCCCTAGTACGTAGTAAGAATTCGGTGGCATGCAGTAGTACCAAGCAAGATCTGTTACTACTTAATCATTAATATTATTGGCGAATGTCTATTAAAATTGCATGGCGAAGCTAGCTAGCTAGATATTAATTGGGTGGTGATGGTGTCTGATTATGCATAGCAGCAGTGGACAAACCCAACTGCTGCCTGCTCGACCTTGTGGGGCTGAGATGATATGATTTAGATACTTTGCCCCAAAGGGATTAGATCCTTTCCCTCCTTGAAATTAGAATAAACAATGAAGGGGAAGGGGTGACTTTCAGAATGCTTGAAATGGAAAGTTTCCCCCCGCCTCCACTAGGAGGAAATACGTTATTGTGAGGAGGAAACAAAAGGACACAGTACTATTGCAAAAATTAAATAAAAAGATAAGGGGAGGGTGATGATAATGTTGGTGAATGGACCAGGGATTAATTGGTACACTACTGCCCTTTCTTATTGTGCATTTATAATAAGTTGTCCTACACCTTTACAGTTTACATGCTCCTTCACTTATGCTTTGTGGACTTATTAATGAGTAATTATTGCTTTTCAATACCTAGAATTAAGGTTGTCAATTTGGTTTGGTTAACCAAACCATTATATGTGACAACAAATCAACAATAAAAAAAAAAACTAAATCAGGCAGATTCTCTTAAACCAAAACCAAAATCATTATAAGTATCTAATTGGTTTCGGTTAAAAAGTAACTGACAAGGTCCTTACCGATTTTGGCTTGGTTTAAATAAACCAAAAATACCAGAAACTAAACTCATAATTTCGGAAGTCCAAAATGAAGTGATAAAAGACAACAAATGAAGATAAAAAAATTCTATTGTACATAAGTTGGCGACAACGCAAGTCGTCGATAGATATTGACTTAGTTGGAGTGTTATCCGTTTATTATTGATTTCTAATTGATTTTTTCCAGTTTGAAGCAAACCAAAAATATACTTTCGAGTTCAATTCTCATAGTTTAATATTTTAAAATATTATATGGGTGCCCTTGGTAGAGTTTTAAGCTCGAATAGATTTCTTTCATTAGTTTGATAGGTATTTATGGAGACTAAGACAGTATCAAGCACATGAACTAGGTTCTCTCTCATAAAACTTGAGTTAAACAAAAAGAAGACTTTAAACAGAAAAAAAATCTATTATACCATGTGATTAAATCCATGAATAATGATGAGAATTTTTTAACCTATATCATGTGAAGAACTCATTCTCATATGGCAAGGAGAGACCAAAATGCACGTTTCCATGCAAGAATTTCCTTTTGATAAGTTGTTTTCATATACTAACCAAAACGAAAATAACAAAAACAACCGTATTTCTAGTACAATCATAATAATAATAACAATATTATTATTATTATTATTATTTCCATACAAATATTAGTTGGCCTTTATATAGTTGCACATCGCACCAAAAGCTTCACATGCTAGCCAAGCTTTGCTGTCCCGTTGGAAAAGAGCTTTGCTGTTGCATTTTGCCAGCCTACGATACGTCACACTCAAATCCCAGGAACTCACTTCCTTTCGTTTGCTTTGTCCTTTTTGAGTTTACTCTCCCCACAGGGTAAGGTTTTTTGGTTACTGGTTAAAACAGGGAGAAAAAACATATATACATGTATGTAGGGTGGTTATACGGTTCGGTTCCAGTTCGGTCTTTTCAGGAATATAAGGACCAAAGATTGGATTGGATACAGTCCGGTCTTGACCCGGTCCGGTTCCAATTTAATCTTGATTTTCTGTGTTGGGGGTCTCTTATCCGGTCTTTATCCGGGTTTTCTTTATCTCAAATCTAAGCCTGAATATGAGATTGGATTGTTTTCTATCCGGTCCCGATCCGGGTTATACGGTCCGGTTTCGGGTAAAACCAAACAGTCCGGACCAAATAGCCGACCCTACATGTATGTATAATTGGTGTTTATGTTTATACCCAAATCCATCGGCACCCAATTTATATTCAAAGTAGGGTGTCGTTAAACCAGCACTAATACATCGGATTCATCAAAACTTCGAATTTAAACGTATTTGGAACAAAGTATTACTAAAATGAGTGACCTCTTGTAAAGTCCTTGTAGTGCAACCTTATAAGAATTTTTTATTAAAGTATGTAAGAGTTATATAGTAATATCTATATATCAATCAATTAAAATAACTAGTTGGACCTTATTAAGTTTCGTTTTTTGGGACTAAGTGATTGAGTCCCCTCTTCTTGGGCCGGCCACCCTCATGGCCCCCATGGCCTCGACAGCCTACGCCTCATATCCCTTGCAACAAGCTACTTGGTATGAAATGGTACTCTCAAACAAACAAAGTTGGTAATAGGAATTGGGGTACCATGTCGGGTACGGGCAATGAGCCATCAGAAAACTAAGTCTGGATACCAAACTGGTAGGAAAGGCTTGGTAGCCAAGCAACAGGGTACGAAACTGATAAGACAGGTTTGATAATAAGATTGAATTTGGCTAAGTCTGAATTCCAAGGCGCCAAAACAGACTTGGTGGTCAGGCAAAACGATACCAAGCTAAAAAGATGGGTTTGGTGGTACCAACTTGGTAAGGCTAAAAAAACTAAACATGGAGACCAAGTTGATAAGTTAGGATTGGTAGCAAGGTTACAAGGTATAGAGGCGACAAAAAGGGCTTTGTATCAAGTTACCAAATCTCTCAAAAACTAAGTATGAAAAAATGGAACAGGGTGCCAAGTCGATGAGACGGGATTGGTGGCAACCGGGTACCAAGTTGGTAGGGCAACAACCTACCAAATTTATGAGACTTCAAAAAACTAAGTATAAAGATCAAACTGGCAGGGTACCAACCCAATGAGGAGGTGTCCAGTAGGCAGTCAAGGTGCCATCTTGACGAGCTCCAAAAAAAAAATTGGAGACCACCTGAGGTAGCCACCCGGGTACCCAACCAATGAAAATCGGTAAGACAGTTTTGCTGGCAACCTTACAGGGCACCAAATTGGCAGAACAATAGGGCTTGGAAAGGCTACATACATCAAGCTAGAAGGAATAAAGGACTTGATGGCAATGAGGCATAGTCTCAAGCTTGCAAGGCGACAAGGTCCAACTAGGATATCAACCAAAAACTAAGTATGAAGACCAACCCGGAAAGACGGTCTTGGTGGCGAACTGACAGGGTACCAAATTGTCATTAACAATCTCTAGATTCTCAAGACTAAGTATAAAATCTCAGGTTGGGGGTTGGTCGAACAAGGTAGCAAGCCAATGAGGTTAAGCAAACGAGATGGACTTGCTAATGAGCTTATAAAACGACCTTGGTTTTGAGATGAAAAGTTGGAACCAAGACAAGCTTCCCAAGACCAAGCATCGAGTTGTGGTTGGGATAGGGGTTAAGTTCTCATCCTCGCAAGTTGGCTGACAATGGTTACCAATTAGTCCTCAAGGCAGCGATGAGGACCCCAAGATGGTTAGGCAGCCGACAAGGTGGTAGTTACCAGGGTAGTTACACATGAGGCCTATAAATAGAAGAAACTAAGATTGTAAAAGAGTTTCACAACCAAACACGTGAACATCAATGTCAAACTTAACATTTTCTCTACAAATTAGCCATAGGTAGTTTCTAGAACTCTTATTGAACCTCCATTGGGAAGTAGAGTAACTTAACATAACTTTCTCCCAAAAAACATCAAACACTCTCATTCGAATATTGTTCAGAGAGGTGTGGACTGTGTAATTTTTTGTTGTTCAAAAAGTCAAGGTGCATTTATTGATATCAAACTATAGAATTGTTCTTGCTGAAAAATCACTTTTGAAGCGAAAAAGGCTTCTCTTACATATCTATTCCTTCCCGTCCACAACTATTTGAAAGTCCCCACAACCCTTTTTTTTTCTCTCTCTCTCTCTCTCTCTCCTCTAAATCCAAATATCTCATGAAAACCATGGCCGAAGAATCCTATTTTACCATATTAGGTTGTATTAGAAAAGAAGACGACATTAGTCGATAGACGACGGGTTTCATATTTTCTATAGGTGGAAGCGTGGAATGGGGTGGAAGCTTGGCATGATTGCTTGGTCATCCCGAGAAATCGGCCGGGTTGGTCGAGACTTATCATTTTCATCTGGTTTTATCGACCTGAAATTTTTATCTAACTGGTTTGCTAGAGGCCAACGGAGAATAAATTAATATAAAAATATGGCTTCAGTTTTGTATAATAGACAACTCTAGCTTCAACTATCATAATGACATGCAACTTTGATCCAAGTGGTTACTTTGACTATTAATAGTAACAATTAACTGATTTGATCATTAGTTAGTGAGCATAGATTGTTAACGAAACTGTCATGTAATCGCTAAATCAACCAAAAACTCATCCAAAATTGTAATTTTCAATTTCAAAAATAATATTTAGAATTAAGAAATTAGAATTCATCAATCAAAACTGAAAACCCTTGAACCCGTTCCAGAATAGCGAACCTAGAGGCTAGAAGCTTCATTCCTCTCTTCGAATACATACAGCCACTCGCACTCCACACCACAAACTCGTACTTAGCTTCTTCAGCTCTCCTCATTGTCGACGACGAGCAGCCAGCGATTATCAAGAAATGGTGTCATGGTGACCATCATTTCCTCTCCTCTCCTCTTCTCTTGTCGTCCCGATCCTCCCCTATAGTCGCGACGGTCGAGAATCGTCCCTAAAAGAAACATCTCATTAATCAGCTCTCTCTCCCTCAAGTGAGTTGATCATTAGTATTGATGATCAAACTGAACTATGTTTTCAAATTTATTTGGTATTATGAAAGTGTAGCTCATGTTATCACAATTGGATATGTTACTATGTTAGGGCCCAAAATTGTCCATTTATGTAAAGTTTAAGTCATAATGAGATATTAACCCTATATATTACTTTACCTACTCATGTATTCTCGTTCATTTGATGTCTCGTCTCGTAGGGGTTGTTTGGAGAACAGGATTCAGGACATGAATTCACTCAATCCGTAGATTTTGTAGAAAGTTATGTTTTTTTTTTGTTGCTTTTTATATTGTGGATTCTAACTTTAGAGATTTCAAATCTCTAAAATCTGTGGATGTCAAATCTCTAATAATCAGAGAGATTCTATATCTTGATTCGTAAGATTTTTTTCTCCTATTTTTTCTCTTACTTTTATTTATTTATCACATGAAATATATTTATCAACAAAGTGTTTAATATTTCTCAAAC